ATAAAACCCACGAGGTTGGACAGACGACCCTACTCCTTGTCACGTACAACCAGGGGATTAGAAACCACGCCAGTCGACTCAATGACAGACTTTATGATACAGCGCGCGCATGCTAACCATTCAGCCATCCAACCCCCCATCTTGTATTGTATTAAACCACCATTTCTATACCGACAGTGATACAAGTTATCTCACTGAACAATATGTTAAACCACCATTTTGGTCACTGACCATACTGTATTACAACTACAAGTTCTCTCCACAAGACAAACCTGTTAAGTCGGCTAAATTTAAAATGACGGCCATTATCCATTATAAAGTACAGGTAATTACCGGTATAAAATAGAGTGGTGCAGGACGGAGGGATTGGTAAGGACAATGTCTAGTTGTTCGGACAGAACATCAAGGGTGATCCCTGCATTGGCCGTAAAGTTCATTGGGTTATTCTGGTGTGTTTCCCCCTTGTCAGTGGTGCAGGACAGAGGGCCTGGCAAGGGACAACGTTCATGTACAGTTGTTCGGATGGGATAAAACCTGGGGTCCCATGTACACGTTGGTGTGCATGTAAAAGAAGCTTGACAATTGGAATTCGAAATACGAGTAGGATGTGAACTGCTGCTAGGGTTCAACAAGGCTTGCTGTATATTTTTTTTTCTTTTGTCAGAAATTAAAACATTTACAACACACTAAAATCTAATTAGCTTCTAGTTTGGCCCTATTCTAACAATATCAATTTTTTTTACCAAAACCATTGCAGTAATTAACAGAAACCGCTGAAAATCAATAGAGTTCTTCGTCTCATGAACGTAAACCAGTGTTGGGATTTCAAAACTTTTGTTGGACATTTTTACCAAAAATAAAGGAACATAACTTTTATTGTTATTTAAGTAGGTACATGTAGTTTCAGACCACACACAATAATCACGTGTCAACAAAATATTCAAATTCGTACGCAATAAAAAAATAGGTGCACCTCGTTATTTTTCATATTAATTCCGGTGCGGTATTCAAATTTATCAGTAATATTCCTACAAAATTATGTGTTGTCGTAATACGATAGAATGAAAGTGTGCCGACCCATACTTTTTATCACATTCACGCCAGTGATATTCCTCTAAAATTAGCGTTTTTTAGGTCAACATTTTTTTTTTTTTAGCAAAGTCCGGCATTCGACTTATACGAGTGATAGACAAGTGTCGAACGTGCTCTCGTGTAAAACAATTAACTACTTACATGTACACTATTCCAATCAAATTCGAAATATTTGTCGACATTTCTCAGCCTGCTTATTTCTTTTTTTTAAAAACATAAACCCCATTTTCCATGTGATAATTGTCACGTTAACATCTCTCGTAATTTCTTGAGCGATTTCTACGTTAGTTTTCGGCTATTGCATTATAATACCACATGCGTGTGTATGACAAGTTAACGGATATAATAGGATATGTGACATATATGACTAGTTTCATATGTCAACTGAATCAAGGGGGGGAAAGAGAGAAATGGGGTTTAACTCCACTGGACACAAACTAGGTCATTTCAAGACTAACACATGGTTCAACTCTATTTCAATAATTCGCTCGTGCGTAGGGGTCTTTAGCAGTTGGAGGAAACCTGAGGACCTGGAGAAGACCAACGAGGTTGGACAGACGACCCTACTCCATGTCACGTACAACCGGGGAATTGAAACCACGCCAGTTTACCAGACATCAAGGAGATTAAAATGTACGACAATGGAATCACGTAGATTAAGTTTTTAATCACTCTTATTGGATTGATATATAGTCCGACAAAGGAGAAGCAATGACTTCTGTTCAGGATTGGATTGATGAATTGTCTGATAAAGGATTAAGTCAGTCCATCAAGGAAGATTAAGTAGTTAATCAAGGTAGGTGTATCACACGGTAAATACATTGATCTTTTAATTACTTAATCAATTCAGCCTATTATCCTAGATAATTGGTTTGAGTGGTACATGTACATGTAAATGTAGATGTCCATTAAATTTTTGTTTTGAAATATAAAACTGATGTTAATTTATTTACTGATCATTGTTTACATTTTTGACTTATCCGATCTCAACATTGGGAGTTATCGAGGAAATCAAGGGACCTGAAATGTTGAATTCGCAAAATAAAATGAATTCAATGAAATCAATGTTTTAGATTTATTTTACCCATATCAACAAGTCCTATATATATATATACATGTACATGTGCATCCATTCCCTTAAATTGATTCTGACTTATGACTTACAACTACATGTAGCCCACCGTGATTTGACAGGCGACCCTACTCCTTGTCACAACCGGGGAATCGAAACCACGCCAGTTGACTCAATGACAGACCTTATGATGCAGCGCGCACGCACTAACCCTTCTGCCATCTAACCCACCTTCTGACTTACAACTACACGCAAGATCCCTTCGTATTTGCTGCTTGAAGTGTCCAATATTGTGGCCCATTCATGGGATTCCTTGTGTACGTGGAATTGTTTATGGGTGGTGCGCAGGGGCGTGGTGATAGTGAGTTTGCGAATACAGATACTCATGCGCCGCTTGATTATTTGTGCCATTACTATCATAAAAAAAAATTATTTCGCATATAGTTTTGCCAAAGAAAAAAAATGTTAAAGAAATTTAGAAAGGAAAATATAGTGTAACATACGTTAGTCCCAAAGTAACCTGGTTTGTGTTCAGTGGGCGGTAAACTTTTAAAATCCCTAGTTCTGTCTTACAATAGGACTGGTAATACTATTAGGGAGAGAGAAAAATGGGGTTTAACATCCACTCGATACAGACTAGGTCATTTTGGGACTAACATACATTTCAATTTTATTTCAATAATTCGCTGGGAGGAACCATGTCAGTACATAAATGTACAAAATGGACACTCCACTTTGTGTCAAGATGCATGTATTAAAAATAATCAATAAAAAAACACAGAAAAAAAAGACAAATCTGTTCCAGACAAAATGACAGGCTTTGAGGTATTGTTGTACACGTACTTGACAAAGCAATGTAATTACTGTCTGAAAATGTCTGTGACATGAGCCTTACTTAGAGGGTTTGAGTCTGAAACTTTCAGACTGTAAATTTGCTAGACAGACAAGCGGCAAATATCATGAATATTATATACTAAAATATGATTAAGATAAACAACTATTAAGTAAGTATATGTAATTATCAGAAAATCAATACATGTAGATTAGAATTTGTTTGGCCCATGCTAACCTTTAGTACCCTATACAAAACATTTATTGTCAGTTAAATTGAAAATATTCTGATACACTTTTGACTTTACATGAAAAATTAATTGAGAAATTCTGATACCGGTAGTTGAAAAAGCTAAGATGAAAAAGTTAGTGGATATTGCAATTTTTGTTTACATGTACATTAGATACATGGCAGTATAGGAATCACTTGCAAAACAGTGTTCTGAAAGATGAATCTCCATGTACAGCTGTAATACATGTAGAAATACATGTACAGTGTATCAGTCCAAAAATGGTTCAATTCCAAAGATATGTAGAATTGAAATTTCATCGATCTATGCTGCTCGCTATGTTACGAGTCTGCCTCCAGTTATCTAGGTATGCCTGTTTTAAATCTGATTGAATCCAACTGTCAGGACATTATCTAGTGTTAGTATTTTGATTTCTTAATTACATGTACATATTATTGTGGATCAAGCTGTAAGAAATTTGATACATTAGAGAAAGATAGGTTGCCAGGCAACGAAACATACGCCCACAGCAGCTAAATCGTCCGGGCAGTCAACAAGAGTTGTCGCATATTTTTACTTTTTTCGGTAATGAAACATTTATAATACACTAAAATCTGATTAAGAGCAACAACTCAGAAAACCATTAGAATTTGTTTGGTTTTTATAAAGTTCTGCCCCATGCTAAGGTTTTGTATACAAAACTTTTAATACTGTATCATGGATTTAGCTGTTCCAAGTCATAAAAATTCATTGAAAATCAATACACTTGTTCGTCTCAAGATCTTAAACTCTGTGTATCAATCTGAAGTCAATCGGATATTAACTTAGAAATTCAATAGGATTCTTCGCCTCGTGACCTCAAACACTGTTTATAAATTTAAAGTCAATCAGATATTAACTTTAGCCTTTAGAGCATCCACAAGGTTTTTCGAAGTGATCAAGGGCCAGTAATTATCGAAAATCACTGAAAATGAATAAACTTCTTCGTCTCATGACCTTAAGCACTGTGTATAAATTTAAAGTCAATAGGATATTAACTTTGGCCTCTAGAGAGTCCACAAGATTTTTTTGAAGTGATCAAGAGCCATAACTCTGGCAGTAATTATCGAAAATCGCTGAAAATGAAGAGGCTTCTTCGTCTCATGACCTTAAACACTGTGTATAAATTTAAAGTCAATCGGATATTAACTTTGGCCTCTAGAGCGTCCACAAGATTTTTTGAAGTGATCAAGGGCCATAACTCTGTCAGTAATTATCGGAAATCGCTGAAAATCAATAGGCTTCTTCGTCTCATGGCCTTAAACACTGTCTATAAATTTAAAGTCAATCGGATATTAACTTTAGCCTCTAGAGCGTCCACAAGCAATTGTGGACGCCAGACCGACGGACGGACGGGGGTGACGACAATATATGACCACATTTCAATGTGGGCGTATAAAAATGCAGATGGTGCATTGTTACTATGACAACGATTTAGTACCATTAATTTTATGTACTATATATATGCCACGTAATTGTGAATATTGTTCACATACTAATGAAGTTATTTTCATGGTGTTAATTATTCATAAAATGTACATGTATATATGTATTACATGTTGATGTAGGTGTTATTTACAAATGAAAAATCTCGAAAATGACAATTTTACATACATACCGGTAATGACATTTTCTCTCAATATTTTATGTACTATACATGTACATGTAATATTCAATGCTATTATGAATAATGTTATTATCACATGTTTCTATAAATAGGTTAAATGTCAACTTACTTGTTATTTTCCGTTCCTCTGATACATGATTTCCTGTTTCAGCCCCACTTGCTTCCTTGGGTTGCTCGTTCATCTGCATCATCGGTAACAAAGTGGTTGGCGCTGGATGTACAGCTGCTGTCTGATGTAGCCGAGATATCGGTGCCTGATGTTCTGGTGGTGCCATGGAATTAGGTTTCTGAATTTGTTCCGCCTCAGAGCTGGGTGATCTCAGATTGTGACGATTGACAACTGGTTCAACGGTTCGTGTGGCTTGCTGAACTGCAACGTTTTGATACTTTGGATAATTTGTCACATGTTGAGTTGGGTTGTTAGAGACTGGATGTCCTAATGCTTGTTTCATGATTGGTGCTGAAATGCTACTAGTACTTGAATTTTGTTGTGGGGCAGCTGTCCGATTCGACGACACAAAAGGAGCAGGTTTATTCAGATCAGGGTGCGGCTTCCCAGTCATTTCCACTGCACCATGATAAACGTGGGCTGAATGTCCAACCCCCGTTGGTATTTTAATTGGCGCCTGCAGGACTGCAGAAACACTTGGTAAAGAGACAGCTTTTGATAAAGGTGTTTTAGGAGTTCGAACGTCTATCCCAGAGTCTTCACTCCTCCCCAATTCTTGCTTGGATAAGGATAAAGCATGAGGTTTAGCAGTAATTCCTTTTGGTTGGAAAGCTGGAAACCTAGGAGTTATTGGTGAGACATGTTCAGATGATGAGCTACCAGATTTAGAAGTTGAGCTCCAGCTGCGTGCAGGAGAGTTGACATATCCATGCATCATCTGTGAGCTCGGGTGAGGGGATATGGGAGTGAATGAGTTGGAGCTCCTGTACATGCCTGGTCCAGCTGGTGACTGTATGCGCGGAGAAAGAGGATTTTGCGGAGTAGGTGAAAAAGCAGGAGTTGTTGATCTTGAGTTACCCAATGACACTAACATATTAGCAGCTTCTGTTTCATCTATACTATCGTACCGATGCTGATACTCCCCTTCTCGCGAATTGTCTGTCCACTCAATATGACCTCCCTCCTTTAACTCTCCCTTTCTACATCCAGGGAAGTTTGGTTGGCGCAAACCTTTGCCTTTAAGTGATAAATGCCGAGAACAAAATCCTCTTCTTTGAGATTCCTTTGTACATCCCTCCTTTGAGCACAGTCTACGCCACTGCTTGCCATTGAACTTTTTGCGAATTCCGTTCGCTGCACTAACCACGTCACCTTTCTTGTATTTTAAAGCTGAGTTCGGAGACCTTGGTGTACTGCAGCGACTACTCTCTGTCGATTGAGCACTTCTACTGCGAGCCGAGTCTCGTTTCTTAGGTATCTGACGATTTCTATCTCTGCCGTTCTGTGATCGTGTTCCAGAACCAGGAGTAGCACTACCAGATCTTGGTGTGCTCATCCCAGAAGAATCAAAGTTAACCTCCTCCAAATCATTCATCTCGTCGTCGGTTGTCTCCCCTTGATCTAACAGCGGTGTAACTGGTGTGCTGTGTTGATCAGTTCTCACGCTCACAGGACTTCTCAAATCTTGCAAGCCGGCCTTCTGAGTTTCTAGTTCCATCATACTCTCCTCCATGTCTTCGTACCAGGGAGGCTGAAGCAATCGTAAATTCGCTCGGGATACTGTCACTTCCGCTGGAGCTTCCACTGGTTTGCTTTCTAGTTTAACTTTATACGAGATAGGATTAACTTTTTTCTCCATAATGAAGCCAGGATAAAATACATTAGTTTCTGCGTTAATTCTTACACACACTTTTGCCCCCGTACTAATCATACCCCCCATTGGACTATGATCACTAATAATGTCTGGTATCGGCGAATCAAATATATTGCTATAACTTGTCAAAGTTTTATCGTCATCCAACAAAATACCTAAACTTCCTGTGTTTTTCACGGCTTTGATCATCCCCGGAACATACGTTCCATTCTTTCTCGCTAAAATACGCTGATTTTTCCATTCTTCTAAATCAATCGAGGGGCGCTTTTTTAAGGGAGGGGGAGATGAAAAGGTTTCAGAATCTAAATCAGCCTTACGTTTTTTGGGTGGCTTGGCAATGACTCTTTTAGACAGATCGATCATGACTGGCGGTTTATTATCGTTTAAATTTCTCATTTCAATAGATGGAAACGGTGGTTCTATTTTTGTTGTTGTCTCTGTGTGTTGCAAAACATTAGATGTTGACGGCGATAGAACTGGTGATACAATTGGTGATTGACTATGTGATACCGGGACTATGACTGATTGATTTGGCGTACTTGTGCTGATGACTTTATCTTCAACTTGTTGTTCATCTTTAACTTTCGATTCTGTGCTAGTCTTTCTCGCCGGACGGGTCTTTACCGTTGTTGATGTTGTGGTTTGTTTTGGCGTGGAAATGGGCTTCTTTGACTCAGATTCTTTACCTGCGTTTCTCTGACTTATTCTCTTACTTCCAGTACTTTCTTCTGATGTGTCTGAATCAATCTTTGACGAAGGGGTGTCGGGTTTTTCCTCTTTTGTACTGTCTTTGCTGTCTTCGTTACTGTTATTATTATTATTTCCTGGATTGCGTCGGCGGGATTTAGTCCCTCCTCGTCTGTTTGGTGAAGAACTGTTTGAGCGCCCTCTTCTGGCGCGGGCCTCGTTTCTACGGGTCATATTGAAAGCACTTCTGTTGCCTGAAAAACACCAAATAGTAGAAATATTAAAGAAAGTTTCACATTTAACCACCTATCGCATAGTGAGTGATGCAGTTGAAGGTCAAGTACAGAGACAAAGCCCAGGATCGGCATCTAGTTACTCGAATGGAACAAATAACTGAAATCCAGTGTACATGTTGACGTGAAATTAAAAAGAACCCTTGACAGATGGAATTCTGTGAAGATAATTTGGACATTGCAGCGGTCCAGACAAAATCTCTCATATCACACTGCGTGACTTATGCCTGGTTGGTCAAGAAAAGTAGGATGTTAAATCTCATTTTATTTCTTTTCAAATTAAATTTTTGACACACAAAATGGCAATAAAAGCAATGTTGGTGAATAATGTATGGGAGATGGAATCTATTTTTACTGCGGATTACCATTATTCTATTCAATTCACTCCTAGAAACAATAGCTGCTTCAATATGTGGCGAAAGCATTTGCTATGACTGAACAAACATTGATTCTATGTAGTTTTTAATTTTGTGGGGTAAACCTTGGCAGCGGTTTTTAATTTTGTGGGGTAAAAAAAACACTCAGACTGGGCTAATGAAGATGAGGAAAATTTTGCCTGGGCAGTGGTGCTGTGGCCTACTCTTATATCAATTCCAGCTTCAAAGGGTTCTTTTATGTGCACATCATCTGAGTTACATAACGTAACTACCTATGTGTATTAAATTTAGTAGTATCATAAGTGTTATTATTACATGTACGTATACGTATAAACAGTTGTCTGATCCAAGCGTTGCGACAGACTTAATGCATAATATTAATACTTTATGTGAATGAGCTCTATTGTTTGTGCTGTACATGTTTATAATGGGCAAGAACAGACCCGATATAATATCTTGATCTTATGCCCAATGTAGATTAACCTAATCCTTGTCACATACATACACGTCTGCTCGACACCAACTACATGAAAATGTAGGTCATATGGTTCAATTTTATTTCAATAATTTGATTGCGCGTAGGGGTCTTTAGCAATGGGAGGAAGCAGGAGAAAACCCCACTCCTTGTCACATACATGTACATGTACAAGCGGGGAATCAATAACCATGCCACTTGACTCAATGACAAGACCATATGATATGATCTAACCCACGCGCTTAAACAATTTGGCCACCTAACCCAGCTGTCATATACATACATGTACTACAAGCACATGCCATAATTTTCAGTTTAACACCCTCTCCATGGGATCATGAGTTGCTGAGTTTGTGATCTAAATAAATTAACACTGTTGAAGGCCTAAAGGTCATACATGTAGTTACAGTCACTGGTCTTCAATTTATGGATTAAAGAATCTTTTACAAACTACAATAATATAATAATAAATTTCTAACAGGAATATCACTCAGTCAAAATTTTTTTTAATCAATTCTGTTCAGTATTTACAAAGATATGATAAATTGAAAATGTGTTAAGTTCAGTTGAATCTCTAATAGTACATGCAGGAGAACTGCACTACATGAAAAACAAAACCAACCTGCGGACAAGACAAACTACACAGACATTGCGAGAAATAAACAACAAATCTATACCAAGATTCAAATCAAGTGAATTGATATGAATTTAAAATGGTTCAATTCCATTCAGTATTTACAATGATTATGATAAAGTGTAAACAAGCCTGCATCATCTGTAAATTTTGGATAAATATTTTAGATGGTTAGCGTCTGCGCATTGTATCATTAGAGGTCTGTCTTCGAGTCAACTGGCATGGTTTCAATTCCCCATTTGTATGTGACAACCTTGTGGGTCATCTCTGGGTCCTCCAGTTTCCTCCCACTGCTAAAGACCCCTGCACGCAAGCGAATTATTGAAATAAAATCGAACCATATGTCAGTCCCAAAATGCGCTAAAGGACCATATGTGAAAAAAGTGGATTTCTATAAGTGGTTGTCCATACTGACAAGTAGCCTGAGCTGTGCTGTGATGCGCACCTACTTGCCTTCAAATAAAATTGTGGGAGACTGATCATTTGCTTGTATTTTCTTATGACATGTTCTGTTCCAGGCGCGCCCTCTACATGTAGTGTAGGCCTACATGATGCTCTGTAACTTTAGAGCATGTAATCAATAAAAGTTGAATTACCTTTTTTTAATAACAAAATGTCCAGAGATAGAATACTGAGATAAACGGTCACTCGACACAAACTAGGTCATTTCAAGACTTAATATGGTACCAAACAATTTTATTTCAATGTATAGGGGTCTTTATATATCTGTGGGAGGAAACTGGGGGGGGGGGGGAATGAGGTTGGATACTTGACCATACGCCTGGTCATGTGTGCAAGCTGACAGACCTTATGATCTAAAGCACATGTGTTAACCATTCAAACACCCAACCCCCTTTCCTGTCAATAATAAAGTACAGTAATTCATTAGGCTAGAATGAATCCACAGGGATGGCCTACTACTGATAGATAACCTTATACAGTAGGTTCCAATGTCTTTTTCTAGGGATGATTCATCAGGCTTTACAGTTTGTGTCAACCATTTTCTTCGATGAATACTTGTGTTTGTTGCTACTTGCTACATGCTGTTGTCATTTGTTAAACTCTAGAGTACTAAAGACCAACTACTTTTGTGTCAGAAATATTAAAAAGATTTGGTGAATAGCCTCAAACAGACAGTATTTACAACATATTGTCAAGTTACGAAATCACTACAGCCTACAGTTGATGGTAAAACTTAGTTATAACTTATAAGGAAACAAAGCCATTCAAAAATAAATTACTAATTCTGTTTGAGCTTGTTAATGTATGAGATCTTATTTCTAATAATTAAAATACTTTCTCATTTTTTACCTCATAGTGGGTGACAGTACTAGGCTACAAATCCATTGCCTTCGCAGATAGTAAGACGTAAGATAATTGCCCTCCTCACAATAATCAATTGCATAATGAAAATCTGAATATCCGCACCTCCCATTATTTTCATAGTTTATAGTGTCATTATGTACAACGACAGTTTGTTTGAAACACGGTTTCCTTTCATACCAAACAGCAAGAAACGTTTGTAACCGTGGCTAGTGCGTGACACAAGACCTGCTTGGCTATTTTGTAAACTGTGTCACTCTTCTGTATTATCTATGGTTACATGTACTTTCCTCTGTCTGTACGCTCTAAATCTTTACGCCTGCAGAGAATTTCCATAATTTAACGAATTCACAACATAAAAGTACTGTGGCCATATCGAAACATACGACGGACTCAGACTTCAGAAATTGCAATTTCAACGGCTTTGTAAACAGAAAATATTAGAAGTAACCGACTAGCCACAAAGCGAGGGCTGCTTGATACAGACGGCTTCCATCTTGAAAACGAAAATCCGTGAACCTAATTTGTGTCAAATTTTATCAGCTCATTGTAGGCTTTAGATACGTCTACGAGTAATATTTCTTACACTCAGACGTAGATGAATATCTTATTTACCTTCTTATGTAGTCACATGTCGCATTATTCTTCAATATCTTCCATATTCTACGTACTAAAAACAGCCAGCTATAAAATGGCTGGCCAACATAAACCAAAAATGTTGAATGAGCATAAGGGCCAAAAATTAACAATATTCATTGGTTGTTTGCGGTAACAGAGAAATTTCACTTTGTTTTGATTGGTGGAATATAATGACGGTCTCTTGCATTGTTTATTCACCATTTACTATACAACCCGCATGATTTCTAATTCTCCATTTTTACGTTTCTTTTACATTTTGTACAGAGACTATTGCAACTGCACGATCGGGCGAATGCATTTACAAGTTCTTCCTTGCATGGATATCTGGATCACACTCAGTAAAGTGCACTTCTAATGGAAAATTAACGTCAAAGAGTAGGCGGAGCCAAAGCCCCCTGTTCTAGAACAGCTGCAGTATTGACCAATCAGCTGCAAGTTATTTAGGTCAATTTCTATATATGGATTACGAGTAACACATCGTGATATATTTGTATGCAGTTACTATGTGAGTTTACTATAGGCGTTAGTTATACATGTTACCGGCCGGTTACGCTTTCCGTTTTGCGAACATAGTAAAGATACCGCTGACATCATTGTGGATGAATTATAATATAATTCCGCTTTTCAAGTAAGACACACCTATCTCATCACTATGGTTGTTTTACAATTTATAAATAGAAATAATTTCATCTTTCTTAAATATTAAATATATTATTAGTGATTATTTCAGCGCGATCTGACGTTATTCTACTTTAAAATACAACAGAAGTCTACTCATAGGAATGTTTTCTTCGTGATAAGATTACAAACACAGGGAGTGATATTTACTGTATTAAAGTTTGTATTTTCTTTTTTGCAATTCTTTCCCGGGGGGGGGGGGGCGGACAAAAACCTCCGAGGGGGGGGGGGGTCCTTTCGGACAAAAACATCGTCTAGTCATTCGGATGGATCCGCTCCTGAACGGGAGACACGGTGGCTAAATGGGTAAGAGGCTGGCTTGCTAGCCTGGAGGTCGCGTGTTCGATCCCTGCATTGGCTGAGAAAGTTCATCGGCATTTTTCGACGTGGTTTCACCTTGTCAGTGGTGTAGGACGCAGGGTCTGACAAGGACAGCTGTTTAGTCGTTCGGGTGTGACGAGGTCCCGTGTATACATTTGCGTGCACGTAAAAGATCCCTTGGCAGTTGGATTTTAATATAGGAGTAGGCTATAGTGCCGCTGCCCTGCAAAATTTTCCTCATAGCACACTGTATGCCGTTTGCCCCGTCTTCATTATCCCAGTTGGAGCAGGATAGTAGACGTTATAGCTGTTAGCACTCCATCATGTAGGTACGTAAGTACGTGTTATGCAAGTTCAAACGATATTCAGGCCAACGCCTACAGGTATCGGGACTGCGATATTCCCGCGACTGATTGAATGGAGAGCTTCATTAAATTAAGGCATGGGGGCGTTGTTGGCGAGTTTTCAAGGATTCATTCATACGAAACTTACCTTGACTGTCTACAATAAATAAGAACAGACGCGAAAGTAGTTAACAGGCATTTTAATTCCTACTTCGAGAATTTATTCTATTTGCATTGTCATATCTAATGAAATTGGAAATAAGTCTCTTTTTTAGTCTGTGTGTATATGAAAGATGTAAAACGGATTAGAACCGCATATCAAAATATAAAATATAGTACACTAATTTTTCAACATGGCCCCCATTGAGGGCTGAGATCTATTCTCAAAGTAGATGGTTCATTGTGTGCAGAATGGGAAAGATCCGCTGTTTGCGAGTGGCATTCATTCAGGTATAGTTATTCCCCTTTAGTCTATAATTGATGTGTGTAAGCTACGCACAAGGATTACAGGGGGAGAGGGTAGGGGTGGGATGTGTTTGTGTGTGGGTGTGTGAGAGAGAGAGAGAGAGAGAGAGAGAGAGAAACGACTCTACACCTTGTCACAGGCAAGCGTGGGCTTGAAACCACAAACACTTTACTCACTCATCCCAGCAACGGGTGCAGTCAAGGCTGTTTATATAATTATGCACTCAACCCCACCCCCCTGGATCCGACTAAGGGCATTACAGAACACACTGAATCAACGAGTAAGACCCTGGTTCACTGACTAGGTTGCCCCGGGTTCGATCCCGGTTTTGGCTGAGAAAATTACTCGGGATTTTTCAGTGGTCAGTGGTGCAGGATAGTGGGCTTGGCAAACAACATCAGATGGGGCGGAAAATATAGGTTCGTGTACAAACTGGAGTGTACCCACAAGAACCATTAACAGTCGGAATTCGTTTTACAGTCGTAGCCTGTTTCATGCAGAACAATGGTTTGACAACATTATAACTGTTTCTATTACAGATGCATAATTCAAGAGCTAAATCTGCCTTTTGCATGCCTTTGTTGATGCCTTAAATGTTATATAAATTATTAAATGGGCATTATGTAAGATTTAGACAAATAGCTGGCCGTTTTCGCTATACTATTTCAAAACTCGATTATGTAAAATGAATGAATTGACATTTTCACTTAAATTACTTTATTTTGAGCGAGGTTATCAATAGTTGTAGTTTTGACAAGATGTGTGTATTGATCGTAACCACCATACTGGTCATTTGAGTCTTAGCCTCATTAAATGGCCGAACCGTTCTAATCTACTAAAAGCTGGACCCATCCGATGGCACCGAGAGTTGATTATGGTCTTGTCATGTTAATAAATGTCTAATTAATAATTCATATAACATTTAAGGCCCAAAAGAAAGACATGCAATAGGCAGATTTAGCTCTTACATAATACCTGTTTAATTAGACATTTATTAACTTGCCAAGACCATAATCAATTCTCGGTGCCATCAGTTGCTCTAGATTTTCAACAGGTTCAAACACGATTGGCGGTTAATGATTTAATTAAAAAGTGGACTTTGTTTACTATCTAGTCTATTTATTATCGTAACAACGGTAGCAATGACAATCGAGACTGCGCTATTCTCCAAACAGTTCTAAAGCCAATTTCAAGAAATCACTGCTTCATTATCTAATGTTTAACTATTACAGCGCGAACTGTCAGCTCTTTATCTAAATTTTACATAATGTGCCTTTAATAATCATTACATAAATCCTGTTAGTGCAGATATGATCAGAGTAGGCGTTACGGATGTTGGCATTTGGCCAGCCACGGTCATATTGTCTCTCTCGATTGTTTCTGTATAGGCCTAAAGGGAGGGAGAGAAATGGGGTTTAAAGTTCACTCGACACAAAATAGTTAATTTCGGGAATAACATATGGTTCAATTTTATTTCCATAATTTGCTTTCGCATAGGGGTCTTTAGCAATGGGAGGAAACCGGAGGATTCGGAGAAAACCCACGAGGTTGGATAGGCGATCCTAGTCCTTGCCACGTACAACCGGGGAATCGAAACCACGGCCAGTTGACTCAATGACAGACTTTATGATACAGCGCGCACGTACTAACCATTCAGCCATCCACCCTCCCCTCCCATCCCCCTAAGTTAAAGAGAGACACACAAACTGCGTCATTTCGGGAATAACATGGTTCAGTTTTATTTTAATAATTCGCTTACCCGTAGGGGTCTTTAGCAGTGGGAGGAAACCGGAGTACCCGGGAAAAAAACACGATGATGAACAAGCGACAATACTTATTGTCACGTACATGTGGGGAGTCGTAACCACACCACTAGACTGCTTAATGACAGTCCTTTTATAACCCACACGCGTTACACTCCCGCCCGCCGCCTTACACCCGATACTAGTTAAAGTTTCTACCAGTAGGCCTACATATTTCACAACCTTCGGATCACAGTGGTTATTTCGCCAACCTTGATGAGGAGACCTTTTCAAAAGAGATGTTATATAAAGGTAATTGATACCTATAACTAAACATAAGACGTTTAGAAAAACTTGACCTGTTTGATTTGGGTCAAAACTAAAATTGTAGACATTCGGGCTACACTACGGACACTCTAAGTCAAATTGTTTTTCAATGTTAGTGACTATTTTATTTTAGTAGATTGTTAACACTAAGTAAAATTTAACTATACAAGTACACATGTAACTGCATGTCTATTTTAAAATAACGTCATAACAACGAGTTGACTTGATATTCACCTCTGTTGTTTATTGCTTGAAATGTCTGTGTAGCTTTTAAGTCGTGTCCAAGCGTTTGTCTTATAGGTCTTTAGCAGTGGGAGGAAAACGAAGGGTCCTGGAGAAAACCCACGAGGTTGGCACGCACAAGATGGAAATCGAATGACAACAGACCTAGACATCTCTCTATATAAGTACATCGCCTAGATACAAATATAGAATTAGAAGCCAAGCTTTATTTTCTGAAGGCATTATTTTCTGAACAAGGGAAGCCACATCCTATATATGTCTCTAACACGGTGTGGGTTTATTTGTCAACGCAAAGAACATTGACCTATAAGTGTAATGACCGGCAGATTGGATACAAAAATACATAAAATGGGGTTTAACGTCCTAATGACTAATGAAGACGGGCATACACCATACATCATGCTGTCGGGGTAATTTTGCCTGGCCAGCGACACTACGGCATAATCTTACTTTGAATTCCGTCTGCCAAGAGTTTTATTACGTGCACGCCAATGTGTGCATGGGACCCCGGGTTTTCGCCCCATTCTAACAACGCTATAGACGTTCCTGCACCACTGAAAGGCAAACCACGTGACGCAGGATATGAATTCCCGAGAAAATTTCTTGGCTTACACCGGGAGCAAACCAGCGTCTTACTCACTGATCCATCGCGACTCATGGGCACAACAATATATTATTCTGATGAAAGGACATGGGATACGTGGTTGAACAGGTGTACTCTAATAAATATGCCGGACGTACCAATAAACGACTTTATTAACACGTTCGACTCCGTCTAGAACACACCGTGGTTTCCAGCGAGCTTCGTCAAGTTCCGGTTATAACCGGTTGATTCCGACCAAAAACGGCTGATTCCGGTCATAAACGACTGTTTCCGGTCATTAACGACTGTTTCCGACCATTACCGACTGTTTCCGGTCATTAACGCCCGATTTAGGTCATGAACGGTTGATTACATTGACACCGAAGAAAAGTAGAAGAGAAATGAAATGA